TTATTTTCAGATAGAGAGTGAAGGGAGGAGGGAGGGAGGGAGGGGGAGAGGGAGAGAGAGAAACATTGATTTGAGAGACACACATCGATTGGTTGCCTCCCGCACAACCCCAAGCAGGGCCAAGGGCTGAACCACAACCAACATGCATGCCCTTGACCAGAATCAAACCCATGTCTCTTTGGTCCTCAGGCTGACACTCTAACCACTGAGCCAAACTGGCCAGGGCCAAAGACCTTTCTTTCTAGATGTTACATCATTTGCCTGTAGCTGCAAAAGAGTTGAAGCACACAGTGATGACCTGCCTGTCTTACCACCGCCTTTCCAGACTGGAATACAACCTCCTTCCATGCCCCAGCACACTACGCTTCCCTGCCGTGGGTGAGCGATAAGTCAGTGAGAAGGCATAGCACTCCCCCACTATGCGCGGATGCTTGCACAACTGTCCCTCCTCCTCTCTGGAAAGCAGCCCAAGGAGAGTGACCATGTCAGTCTTATTCATGGTTTATATTCCTAGTACATGCTTGTTGACTATTTGATTGGATGGATGGATAGATGGATGGATGGATGGATGGATGGATGGATGGATGGATGGATGCTCTGCGTGGTTCTGATCAGAGCTCTTTGCATATGGAGGCAGCCTGGCAGAGTAGTTAAAAGTGTGTGCTCTACATTAGCTGTGAGACTTTCAGTCACTTTTTAAGTTCCCAATGCCTCAGTTCCTCATTTGTACATTGGGTATAGAAATAGTGCCTCCATTGTAGTGTTAAGTGTACTGCATGGGGTACTACATATTCGGTGGTTAGCAAAGTTCTGGCAGTTGCTCAGTAAGTAGCTGCTATTAGCACCAATGTAGAACGGCAGGTTCCTGGGCACAGTCTGCTATTCAAAGATTGCCTCCTGCCCTTTCAGCTCTATTATAAGATCAAAGGATGTCAAGGAGGAATGTCAGGCTGAAGTTATCACTGTAAGTTCAAGATGTCTAAAAAGATTAAAAGGAACATTTGAAAATGGATATAAGTAGGATATTGAACAATAAAAAAGACTAGAAAAAGAAAAAAGAGGAAAAAGTTCAAGATGGCATATCTAAAGCAAATTTTCTGGGGCAGTCTAATGCCTCTACAGCTCTCACGCCCACATCCCTGCACAGATGTCAGGGTACCAGTTCACCTCTGTTCTGGGACATACTCGGAGTGCCTCATAGCATGTCAGGCCCAAATAACATCAGTAAATGTTCGCTGATGCAGAGAAGAAAGACAAGTGAAACAAATATATTTTAAGTAGGGTCTTATCTAAAACTAAGAGTGTTATGTTATCTTTGTTTCTCTTGAAAATCTAATAATTCTCTCTTTGTGTAAGAGCTCGAGTGAGAATTATCATACTACTTCCTCGCATGAAGTTACCTCTTACATTCTAAATGCTTCCTTCTACTTCTGTCAGAATCACTTGACCTCTTCCCCAACCATGGGGGAAACACCATGCTTTTTATCTTTTATTCGCCCATTGTAAAGTAGTTTTTAAGTAAAATTAGCTTATTGTCATTTTATTGATGGAAAATATAGGCATAGAAAGAATATGTAATTGACCCTAATACTTTAGTTACTCTTTTTATTCCTTGAGGCTACAGATACTTGATCTACTCCACAGGGACAGCCTGGTCCTTACATTTTTAATAGGATGTTCATTGCCTAAAACTTTAAACAAAGGAAAAATAATCACATTGGCCTAGTTCTAGTTCTGATGGGCAGGAAAATCAGTTTATAATATAGGACAAAATGTTGTTCCACAGGTTTCTTCCATTTAGCAGGAAACAAACACTGATGCAAACACAAAATAGGTAAGGTGGTGCCCTATGACCTTTGCGGTGAATTCTTTCTTCCAGACCAATGGGATCACTGTTTTACCTCTCACATCAAACATCTCTGAAGGATTCAATAGAGTCCCTGAAAGGAATCTGTTAGAGGGAGGGAAATAAAATACAGGTAGTGAGGAATAGAATGAACAAATAAAATGGAGTCTCTATGGTCAAGCGCCTAAATTGTTAAAATCAAGTAGGCTAAGGCTTGAAAAAACAATTCTATTCTTACTTTAACTAGCCCAGGAATTTAAACCTTTGAACCTACCAGTTGTGTCTGGAGATATATATATATATATATATATATATATATATATATATATATATACACACACACACACACACACATACCATCTAACATCCCCTGAAGGATGGATTTAAGAAAAAAAAATGTTTATTTGAGCAGACCACTTGGCATCTATCATCCAGAATGGCAGTCAGCCTCTGGACCACCTGACATCTGACTATAACTGTCCTGGACTAATGTAAGGGCCAAAAATGCAAGACTGATTATTCTCAAGGATGTGACTTTTACAATAAGAACTCTTAACTTTTCTTTTTCCTTTGGAACAGTTCTAGGTTTTACCTAGCTGTGTTTCCAGTTTGCAAACTCTAGGACCCTTGAATAAATTTCTACCATTTTTGCTACTAAACCCTTAAAGCATCCTGATTCATTTATGCTCAGTTGACATTAGAAAATAAGAGGAACAAATAACAATTGTGGTAAAAGCAACCTCAGAAGGTGCTGCTCAGTATGTGCATAAACAGTTTCCCTAATGGAATTCTTACTATTGCAACCAAACTCTTCCCCTTTAGGTAGCTCTTATTGTTTAAAGTGTTCCTAAGATTCACCTCTGAAAACAATAAAACAATTCAAGACCTTCCCCTCCATGAGAGTCTGTAATACCATTTAAAACCTTTTAGATCGTTTACCCACCCCCCACCCCCCAATCTCTCAACATTCCCCATTGGAAACCTTCCAGACTTTTTCAATCTAGCTTCCTAGGGACGTGCTCAACTTGCTGGAGTGATGATTCTTAACAACTAGAAGAAGGATGCTAATCAAAGCCAAGAACTATAGCCCCCTTTTCTCATCCCTGGCACAGTTTTTTAATAAATATATAGGAATATTGGTGCTATGGTCTGAATGCATCCCCCTAAAATTTATATCTTAAATCTTATCTCCCAAAGGTGGTGGGGAGAGTTTAGGTCATGAGGATGGAGACTATAAATAGGATTAGTGTTCTTATCACAGAGGCTCCAGAGACATCCCCTGCCCCTTCCACCACACAAAGACACAGAAAGGTGCTGGCTATGAACCAGGACAAGGACCTTCACCAGAATGCAACCATGCCAGCAACTTGAGCTTGGACTGCCTAGTCTCCAGAAATGTGAGAAATATCTGTTGTCTATAAGCTACCCAATCTGTGATAGTTTGTTATAACAACCCAAATGGGTTAAGACAATTGGATCACTTATTTATTTGCCACAACACTAGTGGTTCATAATAAACTTGAAGTCAAGTAAAATTCCTTAGTCTTTTTTTGAAGGGGGCGGGGGTACGTGCCCCTAGCAGGAACCAAACCCGGGACTCTCTGGTCCACAGGCCAACATTCCAACTGCTGAGCCAAACCGGCCAGGGCTCCTTTCTTAATTAAGCTGCTCAGAGGCCACATTTCCCCCCATATTACCTTTGCATAATTGACACTGTGAGCTAAAGAACAAGACTTTGTATTTCCCCCAAAGTTTTATCCTTATTCTGTAATCTGCTCAGTCTTTTATAACCCTACCCCATAACGTAGGTTCATCTGCGAATTTGACGACTCATACTTACTATGAGTTAATTCAGGTAGACAAAAATGCTACAATGGTCAGAACAAAATATAGCCCTTGGGCTCACCACTAAAGACCCACTCACCATCTTTATGATGCTTTACCAATTATAAAATATTTTTAAAAATTATTTCATTTACTTTTTATAACACTCCTATGAATTCATCATTCTACATGGGAGGACAATGATTCAGAGAGACTGAACTGCTTGATGTGAACAAGCTAATAAATAAGCCTTGCCCAGCTGGTGTGGCTCAGTTGATTGAGCATCGTCCTGAGCACTGAAAGTCTGCGGGTTCGATCCCCAGTTGGGGCAGGTATGGAAGGCAAAGGATTGATGTTTCTCTCTGACATCCATGTGTTTCTCTCTCTCTTGCTCTACCCCCCACTCCATCCTCTCTCTAAACATGTCCTCAGGTGAGGATTTAAAAAAAAGATAGAGAGAGCCCTGGATGGTGTTGCTCAGTGGTTAGGGCATTGGCCCATGCACCAAAGGGTCTCAGGTTTAATCTCCGGACCCAGCTAGGCACATGTGGGAGGCAACCAATCGATGTGTCTCTCTCCCATTGATGTTCCTCTCTCTCTCACTGCCACACTCTGCCCCACTCTCTCTCTAAAAATCAATGGGAAAAATATCCTTAGGTGAGGATTAACGGAGGAGGAGGAGGAGGAGAGGAGGAGGAAGAGGAGGAGGAAGAGGAGGAGGAGAGAAAAAGAAAAGAAATAAGCTTTAGGGTTTCTGACTCTGTTTCCAATGCTTTTTCAAAGACAGACTTTTAAATACAGTGATTAAATAAATACATAATCTATTTTTCATTCCCCCCCAGATGTATCAATAGACTAATTAAAATCAAGAAACATTTTATATGAACAAAATACTATCCAGAAACCTAGCATATAAAACAGATTAAAAGAGATTTATGCTCTGATAGAAACAAAATGGGGGACACTTTACTTCATCTCTCTCCCCCACCTGGGGCACCCCCTCAACTTTGCCCTAGATGGTAATGGGATACCTTATAGTCCTAGAGTGCACTGGGAAGTCACTAGCCAATGGCATGTCCTCAAAATGTAACCTTTTCTAAAAATAATTTTTAAAAATAAGACTACGTTGTCATGCCTTGTTTTTATAATACAATCTAACATTTTGCAGGACTATCCCCATCTTAAAGGTTTAGTAATCTTTTACAAGGAACAGAAATGTTTTAAAATTTGAAGACATCTTTGGATTTATTCAAATGTTTATTTTACAGATGACGAAACAGCAACTCAGAGAGGAGGAGTAATTCAGAATCATTTCGTGGAGGAGCAAGAACAAGAATCCAAACCTGGACCCTCCTAGGCAGGTAAATTCTTCTGCTGATACCATGGAGTTCAGCTTTTAGAGACCTGACCCCTTTGATCACATCTTTAACAAGAAGTAACTTCTGGTTCTCACTTAAGTAACTAACAAACATATATTATATACTTGATATTGCAATGGCATTTAAGATGACACAAAGGAGTAAAATGTGGCAACTAGCTTTAGTAACAAGGCCTTGTAATACTGGTTCTTATCTTACAAACATTATGCAGTCTCCTTTGCAGAAAACTGTTCAAGCAAAATTTGCAAACATTCCAAGGAGTACATAGATGCCCCCCCCCCCCATTTTGGCCTCCAGATTAAGAACCTCTGGCCAATTCCAGTTCAAGTCCCAGTGTCAGGATTGCATAGCACCAGCTACTGTCTTATTTATGGTCTGTCGGTTCAAGGCTCTTCTGTTTCGGCATCCTTCATCTTTTATTTAAATGGAGCAGCATTTTATTCTGGAAGACCTTTGATGGTAGAGAGGAGTAATGTTTTAATATGTTGTTAGTTAACCAGATGGGACAAATGAAGAGAGAAATATAATAAAATAAAAACAGTTTTCTTTCAAAACTATTAACAATAAAAGTGAGGATGATCAGTGTTCATAATAAGAATTTCTTTTCTTTCTGTCTCTTTTATGTTTAAGAAAGAAAAGGAAATAGAATAGAAAAGAAAAACAAACTAGATTACCCCTAGCTGCCCATCCACTTTTATTAAATCTATAACAAATGGAAAAACGAGTAGTGAGTGTGGACAAAAAGAAATAGATTTATCTTCTGAATGATTGTTTATTAATTCTTCCCTTTTGCTATAAGAGATTTATGGTTCTGAAATGGTTGGCAACAATTTCTTCATTTCAAAATAGTTTGGGCGGCTCCAATATTACTTTAAAGTTATTGATAACAAGGCTTGATTTTACTAATTCAAAAAGTACTTGTTGGACACTTAGCACTTGGAAAGCATTGTGACATTGATGTGAGTAAATCCAGGACTGAATCAGAGCGCTATTCTCTCCTTGGCTTTGACAATGAGTAAGGTACAAAAACTTAATGAGCCCCAGTTTCCTAAGCTCTGAAATGAGGTCATATGTTTTGTATCTCCTTTATCACAGCCACACCAGAACTGAATAAACATTTCGAAGAATAATCTCTATAAAAATGACTCTAATTTAATAAGTGATAAAGTTCACATGTTCTGCCTTAGAAATGTTCTTTTTCATGCTTTGCCTGGTATTCATAGCCTTAGCGATAGGTCATTGGCATAGTGTGTAGTAATCATAACAGTTAACATTCATTTCGTCCTTCCTATCTATCATTCAAAATACTTTACACTTTCAGCCCTGGCCGGTTTGGCTCAGCGGTTAGAGTGTTGGCCTGCAGACCAGAGTCCCAGGTTTGATTCCAGCCAAGGACACGTACCTTGGTGGCGGTTTGTCCCCATGCGGGAGGCAACCAGTTGATGTGTCTTTCTCAACATCGATGTTTCTCTCTCCCCCCCACCCCCACACTCTGTCTGAAGATAAATGTAAAAATATCCTTGGATGAGGATTAAAAACAAAAAACACTTTACATTTTTTAATCTTCCCAGAAATCATATGAAGTTATACTATCAATCCTATTTTCCAGACGAGGAAATCAAGTCAATCAAGTCTAAGCTGAGGAACTTAGCCAGGGTCAAACCCAGACAGAATCCAAAGTCAAAGCTTGTTAGCTACTCTCCAAGCTACCTCTTTCCAGGACTCTCACCCAGTTCCCTGTGTGTTCACCATGGAGCAAATTAAGTAAAGGGGTTCAAATATATGGTGACATGCCCAGCTGGTGTGGCTTAGTGAGTGTCGACCCATGAACCAGGAGGTCGCCAGTTCGATTCCCGGTCAGGGCACATGCCCAGGTTGTGGGCACCATCCCCATTGCGGGGTGTGCAGAAGATGGCCAATCGATGTTCTCTCTCACTGATGTTTCTAGTTCTTTCTCTTTAAAATCAATAAAGAAAAAAATATTCAAATATATGATGACAGATGGAAACTAAACTTTTGCCAGTGGGCACTCCACAGAGTACATAGCTATCAAACTATAATGTTGTATACCTGAAATTTATATGTTATTAGCCAATGTTACCTTAATAAATATAATTTTAAAAACGGGAATTATTTAAGCATCTAGCCAGTGCCTGCCATAGTGGCACTTAATAAACGCTATTTCTATTCCCTGAAGAGTTCTACATTATAAGATTCTAGTGTTTTTAAGGAAGAGATCTTAATTTGTTTCCTGGGGCTATTGCAACAAAATACCACAACTTTGGTGGCTTAAAACAAGACATGAACTCTCTCGTAGTTCTGGAGGCTAGAACCTGACGCCAAGATGTCTGCAGGCTGCACTCTCTCCGAAGGCTCGGGGTACATTCTCCCTTGCCCGTCTCCGCCCCTGGTGGCCCCAGGTGGTCCTTGGCGTAGGCTACGAACTCCAGTCTCTGTCTCTGCCTTTGCACGGCCTTCTCCTCCTCTCTTCTGAGGATAACTGTCACTGGATTTAGGACTGACTTGGGTAATCCACAATGATTCTTGCTGAGATCTGTAACTGAATTACATCTACAAAGACCTTTTTCCCAAATACAGTGAGATCACATTCACAGGTTCCGGGATGTGGTCGTGTCTTTTGGGGGGACCACCATTCAAGGTACGATAATGTCTTAATCCAAATAGTTTTATGTCTTTGGATATTCCTTCTGGTATTCTTGATAAACTAGCCCACATTTATTCAAAGAGGGAAAAAGAATGTTTTATCTCACCCGGTTGAGGCCTGTGGTTCTATTGGGGACAAAATCTGTGGGTTGAAAATATTTTTCTTAATACGCCCAGTTGTCGTGAGCCTTCTCCACATTTACTGGAGACTCAACAAGGTTTTTAGGAAACTGACCGTTGCTACCGATGTAAAAGAGCGAGTGTGGAGTCCCCCGACTCCCTCCTTCACCATGAGCACACGGGGTGCGCCTGCCTGACTCCCTTCTTCACCATGAGCACACGGGGTGCGCCTGCGAGAGGCGGAGAGAAGGAAGCCGACAGTGGGGGTGTGCCCACACTCCTCTTCCCAGAGTGAGAGCGCCACTTGGCTAAGTGGTCAGTCAACAGTTTTCTCTTAGCACAGTTTATCGTTTAAGTAACTCACGTCTAAGTACAAGATTACAGAATGTGTAATTAGAGCCCTGGCCTGTTAGAGCGTCGGCCCACGGATCAATGAGTCTCGGGTTTGATTCCCGTCAAGGGCACACACCTCAAGGTCAAGGGCACACACCTCAATTGCAGTTTGTCGCAGGCCCTGGTCAGGGTCCTGGGGAGGCAACCAGTCGATGTGGCTCTATCACATGGATGTTTCTTTCTGTCTTTCTCACTCTCCCTTCCTCCCTCTCTATCTCATGATAAATGGAAAAATATCCTCGAGTGACAAATTAAAAAAAAGTGTAATTAGAGTACGTAATTTAATGACCTAAAAGCAGGTTTTGACATAACTCTATCAACTCCTGCTTTTCCCTTCTCTCCTCCTCACCCCCGCTCCCACCACAGCCCCACCACTCCAGAAACTAGCTGGCCTGGATGCTGACACCCAGCAGGGAAATGCCCCTCAACCGGGGGTGGCAGAGAGAACAATTTCCGCAGTGCTGACCCTCAGAGTAAGCCCAGCTCTCCACCTGTTTACTTAAAAGCACTAGACACAGAGCAGGGCGGAGGGCTGTGAATGAGCAGCAGCTACATCGCTGCTGTCACAAAAATCACCCCTACGAAAACTCAGTGCTGCTAGTTTCCAAAACGGGAAAATGACTGCAGTCATCAGTAGAAGCTTTCTAGACTGTGGAGTAAGAAATAAAGAATACGCCAGAAGAATGAGACAGAGGAGAAGGAAGATGAACAACAGAAAAACAAACAAGCGACCAAAAGCTTTAGGAGTAAATTTATTCAATATTATCAAAAGAAATTACAAAGAAAACAGAACATTTGTGTAAGAAAATACTCCTGGAAGAGTTCTGGTTGGCCAGCTGCCCACACAACCAGGCTTCCTTGGACAGAACTGGGACCAGGGCAGGTGTGCTTTCAGCACATCGGTGCTGCAGTGAGTCACCTTCTGCAGCCTCGGTTTGTCCTTGGACAAAAGTCTTCTGCTTCTGAAGACTCATCAGATGTAAAGACGAGGGGCATTTTCCCTGCTGGTTGTCAGCATTCCAGGTAAGGATAGATAAAAAGGTTAATTTTTCATGGTCTGGCTTCTAGCTCCTAAGAAAACCGAGTCCTTAGAAACACATGGTAAGCAAGCAGTTCCCTTACCAAATTGTGGGTTTGATGGCCAAGCGCTGGAGGTGAAGAGAGAAAGGCAGAGCTGTGATGATTGGCACGGAACACAGTTTTCAGGAAAGGGGTTTGAAATGACATGAAAGCAGTGTCGGCCGAATGACTTAGCCCCTGTTCCCACTCTCACTGTCTTCCAAGGGCAGCGGTGCTGGGTCTGGTGAGCCCCTTATTCCACATCCTGATCAGACACAGCTAATCCCATAGACTTTATCATTTCCACACGTTCAGTAGGAAGTCAGGCTCCTAGACTTGCACTGATGCCAAGAGTAAACCCAAACATGTCAACCCTCCTCTCAGAAGGGTTTTTATAGTTTGGCAGCTCCCAGTTTTCCCAAGAAGCAGGGGACCCCGATTGGGAACTCACGATTATTATTTAGAGATCTTAGGGGTTGTTCACTCAGCTTTGGATGGTACATCTATGAAACTTCGCTAGACTAGTAATGCCCCATTACAAATTAAGAATCTCAGTGACTTTTATTCAGGCTATTTCTAAATATATTTTTCAATTTCAGTCCTTCATAATTTTTAGTTATTCATTAACATTTTTTTTTTAATTCTGGTAAAATACATATAAAATAACACTTTATTGTTCTTAACCATTTTTTTATTAATTTATTTTTGTTACAGATGTTTCTCCTTTTTCCCCACAGACACCCTCC